GTGAGCCAGTCACAGGATGGATAGGGTCTGAAGTTCTATTTTCTACCTTATTTATTGTTGCTGACCAAGTTGATGGGTCATAACAGTTGCAAAAGCTCACCATAAGTCATTCCATTTGTTTTACTTTGTCATATGTGTATGAAACATGTCAACAACAACAACAACAACAATGTTTGAGCAAGTACAGTAAAAGAATGAACTGTACTGATCAATTTTAGGTGGCGGCATCCGGATGCCAATCCAAAACATCGCTGCCAGAGATCCGTAATCCGTGGCACTGCTTATTCACCACAAGATTGTATTGAACAACTACCTCTACTAGCCATACAATAATTGATCTGGTAACTTTCAACATTTCTCAATATTTCTAATCTTAATCTCTTGGATATAAGTTCAACTAAACAGTCTTTTTTCAAGTAACTTACTTGGATCTGTATCTATGTGAGGACTAAAACATTTACTGCAAAATGATCTTTTGTTTCGATAAGTGTATTCAGCAAACAATGTACGTAACTATCTAGTGTAAAAATAGGCCTACAATTTAAAATATTGAATTCAACATTAGATAAAATCATTTTTCTAACACTTAAAATGTTGTTAACATACAGAAAAGAAGCAAAAGAACAGACACAATAAGCAGGCACATCATACAAAGGAAAAAGTGAGCAAAGATTAACTATACCCATACATAGTGTAAAAATAGGTTAGCAAGCAAACACATAAAATTTACAGGAACTAGTGATTATGAGACAAACACATTCTCATGCAAAAACTTGATGAATGCATCGGTGAATCATTCGTCTTGTACTTAACTTGAAGATGTGAAGTTTTCTGTATCCTTGGAACCAACTTCTATACCAGACAGCGGTGTCTCCCTTCTTGTTGTTCATTTTTAAATATAGTAATACGTAGGCCTACACTTTTTCATCAAACAGCAAAACGTCCCTTTTACAATATCTCAGCAATACCAGAAAAACAGGCAACATTGTCGTTTGTTCTGATTAATTTTTGCTGAAGATGTTGCCATCACTTCGGAATCCCAAGGTCCATAAACACCTCAAACTCAAGGTAATAAAAGTTTAAACATCTTAGGATTGTACATTACCATAATATCCTCATTATACAGGGTGTCCATAAAAAACGTTTCAGGACTTTGGGAAATGGATCCCCATACTAGAAGGAAGAAAAAAGTTTATGGGAAGGTATGTCCGAAAATGCATATTTACCCAGATATCCGCCATTTTGTTTTTTATACAAAAATATTTTTATCTGTGAAGTTTTTTATTCGATGATTATGAAACTTGGTTAACATGTTACCATACACAAGACCTATTATAGAAAAAATAATAAAGTTGTTCCGATTGTAAATTTCAAAATGGCGGCCGTTTGAATTTTTCTAACTTAAATGACTCGAAAACGGCTAATTCTATGAAAAAATGTCAAGAATACTTTTTTTTAGCATTTTTAATTGCCTATCAAACATTACCAAGATCAAAAAGATCGGACAAAAGATAACTGAAATATTACGTTTTTTCTGTAAAAATAAGGCAAAGTTAGTCGGGGAAACCGTAATTTTTGCCTTATTTTTACAGAAAAAACGTAATATTTCAGTTATCTTTTGTCCGATCTTTTTGATCTTGGTAGTAGTAAGTAGTAGGTCTTATTAAGACCTACTATCATTAGAAATTATACTAAAAAATCATTAACCGTTTCAAAATGGCGGCCATTTAAAATATTTGATGCCAAATTTCACGAAAACCATTAACTTTACAAAAAAATTGCAAGAGACAAAAAAGTTTGTAAATTTTATGTAGTTTTCAATGATACCTGATTTGTTAAGATTGGATAAATAATAACAGAGAAACGTGTTGTTTTCTAAATGTATGACCACTTTTCTCCATTTAAACAATGCTAATACTCCTTTTACGTTGTTTAGCATTGTTTAAATGGAGAAAAGTGGTCATACATTTAGAAAACAACACGTTTCTCTGTTATTATTTATCCAATCTTAACAAATCAGGTATCATTGAAAACTACATAAAATTTACAAACTTTTTTGTCTCTTGCAATTTTTTTGTAAAGTTAATGGTTTTCGTGAAATTTGGCATCAAATATTTTAAATGGCCACCATTTTGAAACGGTTAATGATTTTTTAGTATAATTTCTAACGATAATAGGTCTTAAGATTAACATTTTTGCAAAATATCAAAGCTGTATCTCAAACCGTTTAGGAGTTATTAGTTTTTTTTGTAAAAAACACATAAATACCGACAGTCGGTAAACTAGACACCACAGACCCATGTTCCTATGGTGAAATGTGTTTGTATTGACCTAAGGAATAACGCTATATACAAGTGTCCAGAGAGTTACGGGACACCCTGTATAGTAAACCCAAGCAGCAACTAATTCTATATAATTACAATCTAAAAATATTTTTTATTACTCTACATATAAAACTTTATCATTCACATAAATTAATTTTCTCAACCTAGACTTACTGAACAAAACCGACTCATTAAACTTTTCCAAGAATTCCAGCTTTAACTTTTTTATCTTTCGTAGTATTAAACTCCTACATATAATGCCTACATACACTGCCACTTTGTTTGGTTATAGAGAAAGCAAAGAAAGAAACCTTTAAAAACTTACACACAAATACATGGTCTCAAATCATATTGTATAACAATGTGTTTTAAATATCACTACTCATAGATATGAAAAATTCAATAATCAATTTTACAAAGTTAAGTTTTTTAATATTTTCAAAAATATTTGCAAGATTTAAAGACTGAAATTTTATTTAGAACAAAAATCATAACAGTAAAAAATGTTTTAAAGCCCAATACGTCCCTTTGTAAAAAAAAAAAAAAAAAAACAAGAACACATATCTAGACAAAAAAATTATAAAAATGTATATTTGATAATAATTGTTTAAATTATTGTTATACAGAGTTAGAATAGATTTACAGTCACTTTAAGAATTAAAGTCATAATTTATGGTAATAATCTGATACGTCTATGTTTGTTGGTTATTTCAACTCAAAGAAACAACTGTCCAAAGAAAATTAGAATAATACTTATCTGCCCTTATTTTGAGGAGGAGTTAAGCCCTTAAGTTTGAAAAAAGCTAAGCCATTTGTATTGCATTTTAAAAACCATTTAATTAAATTAAAATTATGTTTTGATAACTTTGAAACAGTCAAGTACTTATTACTGATGCTTGTTATTGTTGTTGAAGCAATCCAGGCACATTGCAGGATGATCCGGACAGGTTCTACAAAAGGTATTGACCCATTTGGCTCCTTTCCTGACTTTCTTTGTTCCCTCCTCATCTACAAGAGCTGATTTGACACTGTTTCTGGAGATAATACCAGCTTTGTTGACGTTTGCAAACATTATCACTTGATTTTAGGAAATTTCAGGCAACACCCCTAACATCACCAATGTTAGCGGCGATTTGATAGGCTTGCTAACATTCGTGAAATCACCATTAGAATCTTCAACGTCCTCAGCATTATTAATAACATCACCAACATTTTTTTTTGTCCTAGGACGCTAGGCACGAGTTCGGGATTGTTTGTCACATTACTTCAGGCTAGACCTAGGGGTTGCGGCATTATCACTTAGAAAAAATCCATTGGTGATCTTCAGTGAAATTTATGGCAATATTGCTAGCTGCTTTAATGTTTGCAGCAACATTTAGAGCTTTTTCAACAACATCGCTAGCTTTGATGATCTTCATAGGCCCTAGTGACATAGTTGGCTTCGTACTAATGCCTTAAAAAAAATTTACAGTTTCCGAAGTTTAATTTAGGATATGCAGATTGTCGTAATAGCAGGGCTCTACTGTAATTATTTATTCAAAATTATATTTTTATATTTTTAACAAATGTATTTTTAAGTCATATTTTGGTAAATCTGTATGATATCAATGAATAACCAGGACTTGTCATAATTTTGGTAGGCTACCAAAATCTTCAAAACTAGATATGATTTCATCAATTAAACATTTGTTTATTTTTTAAATCGACTAATTGAAAACTGAAAACAATTTGAATTACTGTTTCTGCCAAACTAGACGGTTTTAAGCACTTGATCTACCCATGGGTCAGCAAAAATTATAATAAGTATCAGTAGGCTACCTATGTATCTCAGGATAAATTATTATTAAAAATTAAAAAGAATTTGTTGTCCAATAAAAAAAGTTTGTAAGATCGACACAATCCAAAATTTGATAACATAAACGTAGCACAAGTTCTGAGGCTTGTAGGACAGCTTGTATTGCTGAAACCAACATTTGAAATACATAACTTGTGGACACACCATACTGCATGGTGAACATGGATTAGAGTCAGGGATTACAAAATTAAAATAGAATGGGCATATAATTCAAGAACAATTTCAGGTTTTCAAGGTTCCAAATTACTAAATTAAAACTTTTTAAGAAAAAAAAATAGGGAACTGGCTTACTTGTAACCTTCCTGTACATAATAAAGCGTTTTAAGAATCAAAATTAACACACAAAACAATTCAAAAGAATAAAATGTAACTTATAAAAACCTTTTTAGATTGTGAAAGCCGTTCACAGTTATTTATTTTAGGGTCAGTTTGAAACAATGATTGCCTTACAAAAAACTAAACTTCAGAATAACAGCACCGTTGTGAGAATTTCATTCAATCGTATCAATATTTGTGTGGTTATTTTCTGTGGTTGTGGAACTACTTAAGTGTCATCATACCCAGCATTCGTTGTAGGCCTAACATCCGTGATTTCTTGAGATTACAGTGATATCCATGAGGAGAATAAACATATGGCGATTATTGGCGGACTTTATAGGTGATTAGTAGATATTGGCAAGGAAAATCTAAAGTACTTTACTACAGGCTTGATATGTAAATTCTTGACATTGTAAAGACATTGTAAATAAAGTCTGCATCTTCCCCATTGAACCTTAGGTAATTTAATTAAAAAATAAAACTATGTAGTCACAAGCCCATACCTGCATCTATTGGCGTTGCCATAGGATAACAATATTTATAATGAGTGTCTGCAACTTCTTGGCAGAGTCGTATTCTCTTCAATGGCGGTGAACTTGGATCAACACCTAAGATAGTCATTTTTTCCTTCCCTGAAAAAAAACAACATGTTAACTTGATTAACCGGTTCATAAAATACATGAAAGATTCATAAGGCACTGTTCAAGACATCATTGATTTTTCTGTTTTTGGGTTCTGGCTAGGTTATCAGTATCCTACAATAAGATCAAGTAAATTGACTACCGTAACCTAAACCTACATAGGGACTAGAGCACTGAGCCAGGGTTACATCTGGCATCAACCTTTAATTTACTTAGGAAATTTGGTACTTCGGTATTATTCCGCCCATTGTCAGGCCACCCTTATACAGCACGCCACAGCGGTTAGGTTGGGTTATCATAGAAAGTACCGGTATGACTCATCTGGTATCCTTCGATTTATAAATACACGAGGAAAGTCCTACAAACATATTTATGATAACCCAACCTAACATAACCGCCGCAGCGAGCTGTAAAATAAGTGACCTCCGTATAATACTAAAGTACCGGAAATTTAGCAAACAATCAAATTGAGTAGAACCTTTTCTCAAATGTTAATCAACGTGCTGATTAACTTAAGAAGTGTACTTCTTATAACTTTAGCTCATGTCCCTAGGGAAGTAGCTATTATCGTAGGTGGCACGGTAAGGCCTAGGCCCTGGAATTACTTTTTGATGTCCCCAGAGGCTTAAAACACTAATTTATTAGTTTATTTTATTTTATATTCACCTTGTGTGCAGGGTTGCTACCTTAGGTTAGGAAAAAAACAGGACATAACCCCCCCCCCTCCCCCCCGGATTAACATAGGCTTAAATACTCACCACTGACATTAGGAATTTCAGATAACAAATAAAAGAAGCACAATTTTAGGCTGAAAAGAATGGTATGCCTATATCACTTATAGTTCAAATGTAACAAAGAGTATCAATCTGATAGGTAAAAAACAAATTGTGCTCTTGGGATTAAAATCTCTGTATTTTGTCTTTATCTTGTCTAGATTATTCTCTCATTTATATTCTTCACATTTTGCACTAAAAGTCATTTTGTCATCCAAACATTTTACTTCCTTATGCTAAAAATAAAATCTATTTACATAAAAGGTCCAAATAAAACTCGAAAATGTCATAATATATTATTCAGCGCATACTAAGTCAGAATCAGCGCGAAAATAGTCAGAATCACTCCCCGCTGCTGCCCTGTTATTCAAACTAGACCTCCCTCTAATGGTTGGTCTCCAAAAGTGGTTCATTTTGTGGAAACATGCGGGATGTACTCCCCCCTTTCAGCCTGGGCAGTAAAAATGGCTTCTAGACTTTGCCTTTAGCAGCACACACAAGACATCTACAGAGTTTTACACCTGGAAGCCGAGTAAGTATAAGACCGTTAACCCCTCCAGGGCCAGGCATGGGGTTCTCATCTTGCTGGACAGAAACTTCATCCCCCTCAACTAGAGACTCTATACTTACAATAAAGTCATGCCTATTCAGTGGCTTGTCGGTATTTTTGGAATAGAGAATCCATGTGTCAAAAAGTGCCACGTCTGTAATGTTGTCATAAATTCTCTTTCAGTATATTTTTGTTTGCCTGGAACCTGATACATGGTAAATCTTATGAGTCTACTCCCCCCACGTTTAGATTGTACTTATGGATTAGAATTGGCTTACGTGTTTGTCTCCCACTCTTACTCGTTACAATGTCTTTCTGCTTGTAACCTACCAATAAAATGTCTTTTCCCCCAAAATAAATGCTTTTTGCAAGGGTTCTGATTTAGTTTCAATTACCTTTTTTGAAAGATTTTACTTTTTATTTACTTACTGTCCCAGTAAGGCAGGCCTATGTTTTGTGATCTAATAACTTTTGTGTAACCAGTAGCTTAGTATAGTAAGTTAATTGTCTATGAACAAATGGCATCCCTTTCCTAACAAACTACACTTTCTCATCAAATGCATTTAACTACCTTAAATTGTGTAAAAGGGTCATCTCCATCTTGGCCTTGTAAAAAGCCCTTGCCAGGATAAAGGTCAGTGTGTAAAACATTTAAATGCGGCCAAAACCCAAGAAATCATGTTTAGCCTTAATAAAAATGTTTCCAGTGACGAGTCTGATATTTATTTAGCCTTATTGCCCGTAAACTTTAGGCTACTATTATGACGTTCATCCATTGCATGTGTTGTACATAGCGTTAATGATGAATAAAAATTCTTGATTCTTGTCTGTAAGACTGCTGGGTTTCACCCTGGATTCGGAGCTTGCGTGGGATGACCACACAGATGCACTTTGTGTAAAATTAAGTAGAGTAAGACATATCTTGAGGAAGTTGACCTCTGAACTACCTTTTAACTTTTTGAGACTTGCTTTCTTTTCTTTTTTCCAGGCCCATATTGTATATGGCACACTCCTGTGGGGTCACTCCCCGCATGCTCAGAAAGTACTGCTCCATAAAAGAAAGGCTATCCGAATAATATGTCAGGTTCGCTATCTGGAGCATTGTAGACATTTGTTTGCTGAACTTCGCATTATGACTGTTGTGTATGTCTATATTTACCAATCTTTGTTAGCTATTAAGGACATGGAAGAAGATCTTGTTTGTAACAAGGATGTCCACTCATATCTCACGAGAAATAGAAGTAATGTAGGCTACATTTAAGTAGCAATAGATTGAGTAAAACTAATAACTGTTTTCTTATTACAGGCATAAAGTTTTACAATGCTCTCCCGGAAAGTGTTCGGTCATTGCGGAAGTCAAAATTTACTAAATTGTAAAAGATTGGCTCAAAACAAATCATTTTTATAAATCTGTTGAATATTATGATGCTCTGAAGGCTGGCCATTGCTTTAATTTGTAATTTTATTTATATACTCAGGTCCTATGTGTCACAATTTCATTTTCTTTTGTTTTTTTGCCATAACTTCATGGTTTGCTGCTTTGTTTGCTGTGTGAGATTAACTAATTTCAGCATGGTTTGTAATGGTGAACATTTAATTTAATTATATGAATTTGTTTGTTTTATTTTTAGCATAGTTTTGACGTTACCTATTGTATTTATTACTGAATGGTATAATAAATCTTTTAAATCTCTCTTGAATCCCTACCCAGTCTTGCAGTCTCAAATTTCAAATTTTTTGATACCGAATCTGTCATGTCGTTTGTTGGGCATATACTTGATGTAAACACACCTATTCTTCATGCCTATCATTGATTTGTCAAGAGATATATGTTCTGTTCTGGAATGAAATAGGCCTATTTCTTGAATGCTGCATTCATTAAATCCAAGAAAAATCTTACATTATACCAAGGATTGTGGTTAGGTTGGTCTTTAGGAATAAAACGAAGAGATCTGACTTGCACCATCGACCGTATAGCTTCAAACCTATTTACGGACATAACACTAGAGAAAAAAGGTGTCGCTTGAGATTTAGACTTGCTCCAATCGTCTGTTATATTTTTCTTCTTGATCAACCCCATATTGAGTACCAGTGCAACATATTTTTTTATCTCCCTTTGTCACATCGACCCACCTAGTTAGCCTACTCTTAGGCCCAAGCACTCCAGAGTTTCTCTATGTATTTATAATTTTGTTAGCATAGGCATTTGTATTCCTAACTATCAGCAGCCAAATAAGATTATTAAAAAAAGATAGAAGTATTCAATAGGGTTACTACTACGGGGCGGGCAATTTATAATTCCTGGGTGTCTTACTTCAAACTTTTCCTCTACATCAAACTCCCATTCAGGTGGATGTATTCTTATCCATATAGGATTCAAGTTTACATTTATGGGCCCATTAATGGTCCAGGGGGAACATCAGGATCATTAGGTGCAATTTCAGGAACTGCAATGTTTGCAGCTTCAATTTGTCTAGGTCTACTGTAGGCCTAGGCCTAGGAGGCTGACTCACCTGAGGTGCTGGAATTTCTAAAGATAGGGTAGGCCTAAGTTACAATTGGAAATTTCATTTATTGCCTGTTCAACATCAATAATTGAAGTATCAATAAGTAGTCTTCAGGTCCAGGATTCCAGATTTCCCCACTTCCAGATGAAAAATCAAGAAGGGATTCATCGATTCAACGGAGCTTTCATTATTTTCACACACACCGTTCTGACCAATGTCACTATCAGGATCGTCGGCATCAATACATTTTGTATGGCACTTAAATTGCTTAGTTCACTCATTTATAGATACTTTTTCTTTTATTATGTTCTGATAAGACAAAAACACTGCATAGGAATTAATTGTCATACTACAACAGTGTAATTGTCAGACAACAGTCAATGCCGGCAGACGACAGCTGACTAGCAAGGCAACAATTCACAAAATCCAAAGACGTATAAAACGGATAAATTTCACTTTTGGTTTGCCGACTGCCTTCTAAATATAAACGGACTCTTTCCCTTCATCACTATATAAAAATCATTCTAATCGGCCGACGATTATTGATGTCATGGCTGTTATAGTGACGCGCTGTAACAGGTATCGACTTTAGCGTTTTAAATAGGGTTAAAATAGACGCGAACGCGACTCGTAGCGGATAGAAGTTAAAGAACAAGTACCGGTACAGCTTTAAAAGGTATGCCTGAGCTATGGGAGGACTGCAAAAAACTACTAAGTCTAGGCTATCTCCAAAAAATTACAACGTTTGCATTTTTACTTTGACAAAACTTTTGTTTAAGTTGAGTTACTCTTTTGAGATACCAAACAGCTGGTTAAAGTAAAGCAAGTACGAATACGTAGCTGCGGTAAAAATCCGTTACGTTCCCACAACTCTATTTTTTCCAATTAAGCCTACACTTCTATAGGCCTAGGCCTAACTTATTGAAAATTTTGGAAAAGGTTTTTGATCACACGTCATATAGCCTAAATTTGGAGAAAAGACATAAAATATTACAGTACCGTATAACCTTTGACTATTAATACAACAACTAGACATTCCATCCCCATGTTAAAGTTGTAGCCAGGTTTTTAATAAAATTTGTCTTAGTTGATGTGAGCCACCTACAGATTGCGCTGATCTAAATTACTGATTTCTGCCAAATAGGCTACACGATGGTTTTTACCAAGTCAAACTGGTGGAATGACTTATTATGAGCTATAGCAACTGTTGGGACCAAGCAACTATGTCAGTAACAAAAATTAAGGTACAAAATAGAGTTTTAGACTCTAGCGCAATCTGTGACTGGCTCACACAACTAGCCTACATTCTTTTTTAGTAAAAAATTGGCGACGGCTAATCCATAGAGATGAGATGTCTTTTTCAGTATCCAATAGTCAATGGTATAACTAATTACTGTACTGCAAATTTTAAGTTGTCCAGTAAGTTTGATTGGTTAGGTTAGATAACACTGTTCTAACCTAACCCAACCAAACTTCTCGAAAAGCTTAACATTTGTTTTTAAGTGACTGAACTAAAATTATTGTTATGTAATTGTTGCCACAAAGTCAACAGTGATTCATAACCGCAGGTCACTACTGGCGATGCTAGAGTATATTCTACTATTTTGTGTGTTTTCTCCAATTTTAAATAGGTAACGTGTGATCAAAAACCTATTCTAAATAGGCTATTGTATTTTTCATAATTTATTACCTAAAAAAGGTTTCAATAAGTTACCTATAGAAGTTTTTGGAAAAAATAGAGTTGTGGGCACGTAACGGATTTTGACCTATAGCCTACTTACTAAGCTGCTAATAAACTGATAATAGTGTAGGCCTATCCGAATTATAAGGAGATAAGCTTACTTTAACTGCATAGCTTCTAGGCTTATATCAAGCTAGGTTAATTAAAAGTGTTATTTCTCAAGATAGCTTAACTTAAACCCGCTAATTTCAGTGTCTATTTTAAAAATAATTTTCCAGGGCAGGCCCCCAGGGTTTAGCCAAAGTCTAAGTTAAATCTAGTGTCAACAAATTTTGGTAACCTTATCTCTTTGTAACTGCTAGGGCCTAAGTTAGATCACTCACCTAGCTCAATAAGTGGTTTGTGATATTAGGCCTACAGCCTATTTAAGTTAACTTAATTTTTTATCCAAACTCCATATGGCGTAAAAACCACATACAGTGCTCAAAGATTCCAAGTTTTCTTAAGCTCAGATATTTAATATTAGCAGTCAGGCATAGGCTATGCCAGTATAAATCCTAACCCTAAATTACAGAGGGCTAGGCCTACATGATTAAGTTAGTAAGTTAAATGCTCCATAGTACTATGAAATGGAAAAAAACTTGAGAAAAGTGCAACAGACATTTTAGAAACATTTTCCTATTTCGATGAACTTTGGTGACACTGAAAATGTAAAGAACTTTTCTTCAGGGCAACCTGGCATGTCTTCTCTACTCAAGAGATGGGGTTTTGAAAGGTCTAAGTTTTAGAGCAAATATACTGTTTATAATATTGCTTTAGATGTTGAGATAGCCTTTAATTAGTGAGATAAAGTAAATCGTGACAAGCCCCCAAAAAATTAACAAATTACAACCACTAGGTCTGGGTCAAATTGGAACTTAGACTTGGAAAATTCATGGGGAGTTTCCTAAAGTAAGCTGGTTACATTCAGGATTGAATTTAGCGAAAACTTTTCCTAATATAAAATAAAGCAAAGCTAAAAAACTTACGAGCGATGTATATATGAATACATGGATCCTCCTTGGTAAATTTTGTTAAATTATAGAAGATCAACCGGTTACACTGAGGCTTTATTACACTGCCATTGCCATTGAAGCCATTACTTCTCTCTTCTTAACCAACCAATCCATCCAACCAAACCAACCAATTGTAATTCATTTTTGCCTTCTTCTACTCCTACTTAAACCACTGCCTTCTGTAGCTATAAAAGTAATGATTTTCCAATGCTTCAAAACGTTATATATGTATGTACCTATAACAAAAAATGGATTAAAAGGGAGGTGCTGTATGTATTAAGAATAATTGTGCCACAACCATTTAAATTGATAATTATTTTCAAATTGTGCCGACATTACTGTCATTAAAAGAAAGAACTCCGATAATAATGCGAAACTTAAATCCACCGAAGCTGTGTAACGTTACCAGACTAACGATTAAAAAAATGATGCCTAAAGCAAAAATTATCAGTGGTAGGTTTAAGGGAGAAATAGTCTTAATCCCGCGAATACTGATGATTTCATCCGAATTACCCTTTGAATTTAAGCAACTACAATTTCCTTAGTGTCTTGCTTTCGCAATCACCATTATAAGGCACTAGGGGAATCCCTGACTATCGTTGGTTTATTTGTAGAAAAAAAAATGCTTTTCACACATACAGATGTATTTTGTTAGCGCAGCAACGCGCGCCGGGTAACTGCTAGTATTATCATATAAATGGCCTGGAGGCTTAACCATTGACTATAACAATAGTGTTATATAGTCAATGGCTTAACCATACATTAATAATTTATAAGAGTCTAATATAGTAGGGTTCCTAAATGGCTATACTGCTCACCTGCCAAGTAATCAAAAGTTTAGTGGCACACCCAGGGGGGGGGGCTTTGGGGGCTTAAGCTCCCCCCCCCCAAGGACCTAAGGTTAACTCTTTATGAGGGTCAGGAGTCAGCTGTATATATGTGAAATGTTCACTAGTTTTTATTTTTAAAATATCGTTAAGTTTAAAGCTATTCTTACGACAGAATTTAAATTAAATACTGCACAGCAAGGAGCACGCGTTTTGTAACGAGTATTTATGCAGACAGACAGAGACAGCACAATGCTCACTTACTTGTCCTTGACGTGCTCGCGCTGTGTGCTGTGTGTAGTTGACCCCGTCCGCCCATAGGTAAAGCTCGGCACTGCCCCCTGAGTGTGTGGGAAACACCCGGTTAGATGTTGGGTCAGTCGTCATGGTCAGGTCCGGCAAACTCTTCGATAGTGTGTGGAGTGTGGGGGGCTCAAGTAAACGGTAAAAACCGGAAAATAGTTCCTATGAGTCAAAATAAAGAGAAAACAAGAATACAACCTTTTACAATTGCTTTGTCAACCAAATATCCACCATTTGTATTTTCTACATCAATATTTTTATATCTAGGTATTCTTCCCACAGAACATAATGAAACTGATTTGTTAGAAAATAGATATAAACCAAGGCTCAATTAATTAACCAGTACAAACATTTGTTTTTAAATGCTGTATATATAAACATATATATATTACTTGGTCCAGTAAAATCTTTTTTAAATGGCTGCCATTTTAATATTCGTAATTTAAATTACTAAAAAATTGTTGATTATGATATTAGGCTAATTATGAAAAAATTTAAAGTACACTTTTATTTAGTATTTCAATTTCTTATCAAACAACACCATATTCAAAAAGATCCAATAAAAATAGCTGAAACCTTATAAGTTTTAGTTATAAAATAAAGGCAAAAGGAGGTGACTGCAAAGTGAGGTATTCTACCTCATTTTATAACCAAACCCCCACTGCAGCAAACCTGCAGACTAAGCGAATTTCAATTTGCTAAATCTTTTACTAAAATATTTCCATAAACAAGACATATAGTTATTTCCCATTTCAATAACATTAGATTTAACGAGTATCTATATATTTGGTGCTAACGGGAAGGTAAAAAGTGTTTTTTCCACCAAATGTCAAGTATATAGGATTAAAAAAATAAATGTACCAAAAACCCCTAACCGAAATAAAACTGTTGTAGGTTGCTTGTACTGTATGGATGTACAGTATGTTGAACAAATTTTGTACATTTATTTTTTTGGTTAGGGTTCATCATACACTACAAATCATAGACACTATTGAACCTCCAAATATGTAATTCTTAAAACACATGGCTCACTTACTCTACAGATCATAGTCTATACGAGCCTCGTAAATAATATTGAAGGTTCACTTACTCTACAGATCATAGTCCCTATGAGCCTCGAGTCTTATATTTAAAAATACAGTAGGAAGGTTCACTTACTCTACAGATCATAGTGCCTATGAGCAAAGCGTATGAATTGAAGGGTTGAGTGGATGAAGGGGGCAAGTAAAAATTTTGTAAATATTGAGTTAGGTGCATGGATGAAGGGTGTAAGTGATGCTCTATTTAGGACACTGGCTCCCATAGTACTTTGATAATAACAAAAGTATAATAACAGAGCAGAGATAAGACTGATAAGCATATAATAAAAGACAGTTATTACTTGCACATTTAAAAAATATTTAGTATTTTTAATATTGTGGTATTTCTTTTGCATAGCTAGCTTTTAGTGTCTATTTTTTGGACAAAATTACAGGCCTGCACATAAAGTCAATGATAAAGACTTTAAGTAAGTTGACTTGTTACATTTAAGTTTATTTTCGTGCAACAACCTTATTTAAATGTACTTTTTATGGTAACATGTTGAATTTATTTTAATCGTTTACATCACTTAACCCCTTATTCCACTACGAAACAATTTTTTTAAGTGGATAAAGGAGGTAAGTAATAGAAAAAATAAAATTTTAATAGTAAGGAACATTTCAATTTTTATTAAGTATTGTGCAAAAAAATTTACTTCTCTGCCCTTCCTAATAGCGGTTTAAGAATTAAGATAATTAAAAAAATTAACAAGTTATAACCTGCAAACTTAAGTCCATTTATCTCAAAAGTAACAAAATGTTACTTACCCCCTTCATCCACTCACCCCTTCAATTATTACATACAATCTTGCACCCGTGCGGTGGAGGGAAAAGAGGAAATAGCTGTCTTGCTAGGTTATCTCACCAGGACTATGCACAGGTCAGTGTTCCCAGAACGCGCTCAATGTTTCTATCGACAACTTTAAAATTGTGAAAAAATTGTGTTTAAGAGAGCGTCTAAGAATAACCCCTTTAGATGTAGCTGTTGTAGGGATGAGCATCGATAGTAGATGTTTTTGAAACATCGATGATGATTTTGGATGAAGTATTTGATCGAAGTATTGAAATTTCAATGTTTCCCATACCTAAATCTTTTTAGTTTTGATAAAAATAATATTGGTCTTTAAAAAAATATAATTTTTTTATGTATTATTTATTCTATTGAAAGGCTGATGAAATATTGAATCAAACTGGACTTAGACAAGTAGTGAGTGAGTGACATAACTATCTACATTTGTGCGGTGCTTGTTCTCATGCTGCCTAAAATCAATTTATATTTGTAATAAATTTCAGTGGCAACGCTCCTGCTTTCCAACATAATAAATTAATACTGATATTTATTTTGTCTTGCAAATGTGAAAGAGAAATTGCCAATCTAGAACCTCTAGCTAGCAGCATAGACCAACCAACGCAATGGTGTTTTTAATCAATGCTCGTAGAATATGCCAATCCGTTAATTAGCTGAGGCAGTACAGAGAACAGACGAAAAACTGAAAAAAATCTATTAACAAAGGTGTTCTCGCTACATCGATGGTATCCCTAAGCTGCCTCATCCATTTCTACGACTCTCTCCAAACTAAAATAGACCTTAGACGAATTGGAGTAAACTGCAAGGTAAAATATATTCATCTGACTCATGACTAAAATCATTGAATATACTGTAGATGTAATTGTTTTATTCATGACGTGAATGTTAAAGTCTGCCATGCAGCTAGCTGTAAATAAATTCCACCATTAACTGTTCCTGAATCACAAAGCATATTTAACATGCTCAAATTAATGCATTATATAGGATGTCATCAAAAGAAGTAAATACTAGGGGGTGATTACTACTAAACACAGTAAATAAACTGTAATTAATCAACTTTTTCTAATAAACTTTTATTAAATTCACATTGTATGAGTCAACAATGAATAAACTTAAACAATTTGTAGGAAAAATACATTAATATACCATTGTTTGTACAAAATATGAATTACTAAACTCTTTACAAGTACAGTAGTTATTAAGTAGGTTATACACATAACAGTACAGTATGAGGAATAGAATACTTAACAGTTGCAACACACATATACAGGGTGGCTGAAAAGTAACTTGCACCCCCCTTTAACTTTTCAACCATTTGAGATATTTGAAATCGGTTTGCGGCAACCTTCTTAGATATGAGGGGCTACAATAATCATGGTAAATTTTGAATATTTTGCCCTTAGGGGTAGCGGGTAGCTCAAAATTTTCAAATGACAAGTATAGTCGAGTTTGGTATCATTTTACAGGTCTTGACAAAACAAACACATTGACATAAAGAAAACCAGAATCGGCTCACTAATAACAAAATGGCGCCCTAAATCCAAATAACCATGAGGGTGGCAAAAAAAATAACTTGCACCCACTTAAACTTTTCAACCATTTGAGATATTTGAAATTGGTTTGGGACAACCTTCTTAGATATAAGGGGCTACAATAATTAAGGTCAATTTTGAATATTTTGCCCTTGCGGGGGTAGGGGGTAGCTCAGAATGTTCAAATAGTAAGTATAGTCGAGTTTGGTACCACTAACATAAGCAAACATATACATAGAAATATAAAATAAAGGAGGTGACTGCAAAGTGAGGTATTCTACCTCATTTTATAACCAAACCCCCACTGCAGCAAACCTGCAGATGAAATAAAAATTTCATTTTGTTCGTTTTACAAATAACATAAAGAAAATAGAAATCGGACCATTAATAACAAAATGGCAGCTAAAAATGATTGAGACAATGGTTATTTAAAGTAATTTTGAACTGCCATTTTGTTACTAATGGTCCGATTTCTATTTACTTTATGTTAATTGTTATGTTTCGTCAAGATCTACAAAATGAAACCAAACCCGACTATACTTGCTATTTGAACATTTTGAGCTACCCCCTACCCCCGCTGGCAAAATTTTCAAAACTGACCATAATTATTGTAGCCCTTCATATCCAAACAAGTTGCCGCAAACCGATTTCAAATATCTCAAATAGTTAAAGAGTTAAGTGGGCAAGTTACTTTTCAGCCACCCTGTATATTTATGTTTTGTATAAGAAATAAATAGCGAGGTAAAAAATATCCTCATCAAAAACATATATAAATTACAGTGTTTTATATAAGGTCAAAGTAGCCAAAAAATGGGCTTTTAGAGGTGTTTCATGGTTTTGTTGATTCTTATCTAACAGTATGATTTGTATAAATTAATAAAATTGAGAAAAAAAGTCAAAATTAAATGTATGCAAAACAATTCTTCATTTACCTTCTCTCTATGGCAGATATCTGATGATTTTTAAAGCCACAGTCTATTAAGGCGGTTTCAACTTGATCAATGAAATAGCATATTAGTATTCTTAGATATCAATACTACTGATACTTATAAATACATCACCCTGATTGGTAAAATGGTAAAATAATCATTACCTTACAACACCCTTTCAGATTTAAATAATACCCCCGCCGCAGCAAACCTGCCGACTAAGCGAATTTCCATTTGTCTGAATTGATTTTCAGTTAAATATATTTTAATATAACATTAGGTTTAACGAGTACCTAGGTTTGCTGCTACAAGGAAACTAATAAAGTGTGTTTTTGAGTAAAATATTGATAGCTTAGTACAAAATAAATAAATTTGCCAAGTTTGATCAAAATATATCCATAAACAAGCAAACTACAACATTTGACAATATTCTCCATAAGAATAACATGGGAATTTTAAATTTACAATTTTTTTAATTTTCTCCGTTACTAATAATCGAACAAAAATACTTTTATATACTAAATTATTTGTTTTTTTAAGCTCTTTAAAAAGGTCAAAAGAGAAATCGGGAAATTTTGTGTTTTGAGGGTCAAAAGTGAGAAAAACCAATTTTTACCCCATAAAACCCCCCGTAAAGCCCCGTTCCCATGGTCCGATCATGCTGGTTCGCGAACTCATTCAAGTTTATCCCGCTTTACACCTTTAAACCAAATTTCATCAAAATCGGACAAAAATTACTCAAGTTATCGCGTTCACGGACGTATATATATATATATATATATATAAGTCTATATATATATATATATATATAAGTCTATATATATATATATATATATATATATATACATATATAAAAATTTGAACGAATGGTGTTTTTGGCCTCTGGGGACATCAAAATGAAAAAGTAAATCGGTCCCGGGTCTAGGTCTTACCGTGCCACCTACGGTAATAGCTACTTCCCTATAGGGAAATTCGCTAAAAACAAAGTATTATACAAGTAAAACAAGAAGTTCCAGTTCTACAAGTTGCATTGATCAGTAAAACCCTGGATTGGAGTTAAATGTTAACATAAGATTTATCTTTGATTGATCTTTATTTGTAGGCTACTAATCTTGTATTAATTTATGTTTATTTACAACATTTTATAATTTTTATGACGAGACTGATATCGTGTAATTGTTGAATGGTCAAATACATTCTTGATTCAAAAGTTAATGATAAGTAACAATATATTATGAATTATAGCACTTCATTAGTAGAATGGAACAATGAAACCAAATCATAACTACTTGCAGGGCTGGCCTAGTTATTAAATTATCCAAGGGCATACACCCTTTGATCTTTTAAATATGTTAATAATATGTTTAACCTTTAGTTAAACAGATAAAAATATAAAGATTAAAAATAGATACATTGCCATTCATGATGCAACTGATTTGTTAAGTGGTCAGTGGAATGGATAAAAATTACAAGTCATTAAAAATATATTTTCATAATACCTACAAGTTGTCTATAAATTAAATCTATAGTAAGGAGCTGTTTTGAAAGGATTTTTTTTTCTTTTTTTTGTCCTAGGACGCTAGGCACGAAGCCTGGGATTGTTTTCCACATTACTTCAGGCTAGACCTAGGGGTTGCGGCATTATCACTTAGATAAAATCCATTGGTGAATTGGCGGGGATTGAACCCGGGGCCTCAGGGACTGAAGTCCCGGGCTCTAACCACTACACCAGCTCGCTCCCCATTTTGAAAGGAATGGAGTAAGCCTACAGGTAGTTTATCAGAGAAAATTAGAGTTTTGAGTCAAACAGGTACATACATAATTAGGATCACAAAATATAACACTGAACTTTCATGCTAATCTGACTTCTTTGCAGAGTAGATTGATAAAAAGTGTCAGTTTAAATGTACAATCTATCTACAAATTGGTTGATACATGGGAAAACCAACTGAAGCAGACCATGATGTAGCATTTGACCAGCTAAAGACAGATTTCAAGCCACATAAGCTGCAAAATAAATATTTGTATACACAGAAATTGATCTCTTAGGCCCAGCCCTGTCAAGGTATGCACTGATAAATTTAAAGTATTTATCAAAGTGATCAATGCATTATAAAAGTACAGTACTAAATTACAAATATTACACACAATAAACACAAAGCCAACTGAAGTTCTAAATAAATAAACTTTGTACACTTTAACGTTACAAACAATAACTTAAAACTAATGGAGTATAAATGTCTCAAAAAAAGAATCTTTTGTCATGTACCGTAGACTCCCATAAAAAAAAATGCACTCTGGAAAATCTGGACTGGTAAAATGGAATATTAACTTAAATTAACTGATTAAATAACAAATTTGTAAGACGATATTTTGCCAGTTTCCTGCCTTTAATTTTCTGGAAAAAACCGTTGTTTTTTATTTTTTATTTTCTGTAACGAACAAATAAAATTACTTATGTAGCTTTTTTGTAACTGTAGACACTCTTTATAATGCCCTCGGTTGTATGGTTTGTGAAGATAAGTTGGGCTTTGCTAATTAATGCATTGCATTGTATGCAGTGTTGAATTGTTTAATACTACACTTACAGGGCGACAGCAATAGTAGCCTTTTATCTGCCGTTACCATCATTCTGAAGGATGCATGGTTAAGTTATGACTGACTCTAGAAAAACTGATTTAGTGGAATCCTGATTAACTGTCAGCCTTACTTGTATTGGACTTTGAGAGTCTAAGGTATATGTTTAACACAACTACCTATTAAGGACAGATTTTAACAAATTGTCATTTTAAGCAAATTAAATCTATATTATGTGTCAGTTTCAAATTGCACGGAAACTTGGGTTCTTTTCTTAAGTTACTGAGATAGTACAAAATTAAAACCTAGTTTTTTGCTACATACCTACAATAGTACTAAATTCCATATTACGATAGCTTGCTAAATGAAAGTTAATTTAATCTTTTGAGACCCAGGAATTCCCCAATTGATTGAGAGTAGGGGATAGTAAATGTATTTAGAGTAAGGGAAAATCAAGAGCTTGGGAAACAGGTTTCTTTGATATCAGCTGTCATTGAAATACTTTATGTATGGAGTTATGAAATAGTTATTTGTGTAACTAGTGGTGAAAGTGGCACTTTGCTGCACACGAGAGCAATGTTTACACACGAGCCACAGGCGAGTGCGAAATGATGTCGAGTGCAGCAAAGGCACTCCGCTATTTTTCCTCGGCAAGAAATGTGCTCCGCGTTTTGAGAATATAGTTCCGTATGTTTTTGTAATTTGAAGTGGTTTCCGCACCTAAAAAAAATGCGGTAAAGGTATTTTCTTGTTTATTAAGATCGTAGGAATGTTTTAAAAACGTTTAAAAGAAAAGTCCAGAAAGTTCAGAAATACCAAAACTATAAACACGAAATGACAGGTTAAATCGTAGTTATAATAGTCAATCAGCTGTTCATAGTATTATTATCTTTTAAGTGTTGCCAACCTATTTCCAAGCGTACACAGATTACGTGCATAATAGAACCACGCTGTTTTGTGTTGTTTCGATAGAATCCTGATGTGCGACAAAGTATAAACCGTACGACAAAGTATAAACCGTACGGCAAAGTATAAATATGCAGCAATTAGCAGCTTTATGTACTATAAACAGTACAAGGAAGCCAACTTTGTCGGGTGACTGTAGGAAAAAGAAATTTTTTGAAGTAAAAGAAAACTAGGTTGATTTTAAAGCTACTCGAAGAAATGTTATGTTTTCCATCAAAACGTATAAGACTTAAAGATAACTATTCTATCACATACAAGTGTAATGTTTTTGTTAGTCTTTACAGGAGAATACACAATCAATCACTGCTATCTGGAGTAGAAGAAGAAGAAACACTCTCTTCCACCCTCTTTTGTGTCAGTCGGTTGTAAATGTCTCTCAGTCGATGTAAAAGTTGTCCGTACTGATAGACTCCTCGTCTCTCACCAAAGGGATCCTAGAGAATAATAAATAATAACCAGTGATGTTAGCGGATCAATTATTTGTGACAAGTAAGGTAGGATAGTTTAAAACACATTTGACAGATTCGACTAAATGTGTTACAGTTTATGCAGGACAAATTTTAAGAACCAATAACAAAACTATACTATTGTTAAGCTCCAGTCACAATACAAGCTGTGAGTGGCAGAGCCTAGGAGGGTTAAGATTAAGGAGAGGGCACAAGAATAGGGATATACATGTTACGGTGAAGCCAGCTTTAGCAGAACACTAGAGGGGCACGCGGAGCTGTAGAGTGACAAAAAGCTGCCTTTATAACATGGGAGAGATAGGCAAAAAAGCGATGCACACGGTTTCAAATTAAAATTCCCGCTAAACTAAAACAAATGTGTTATTCACTGATGGCATTCTTAAAGTAAATTAAATTTCCTATCAAATTATGTAAATATTTTCTGTGAAAACTATTATTTATTAATTTATGATATAAATTAATAACTGTGGCGAAATGCGCATCAGGTATAAAAAATATCATCAAGAAGAAGAAGGCAACAAAAACCAAAAAGGTAATATTATTTGTTATTTACTATTGAAGATCAAGTTACTTTTATGATCTAGGCTATCTATACAAATTAACAATTTATGTGTTCCTTCAGAGTTTTTCGAAATAATATATATACATTTATTTTAGTCCAGTGCATTACATATTAATTTATTGAGTATATCCAGTAAGGTCATGACCCGGACAAAATTGATAACAGGCTGAAAATTGGTTGAAACGTTCAGAACAATGTCCTGAGTGGCCCACACAAAGTCCCAAGAAATCCCAGTTGGGGAACAGCCGCCATCTTGGAAATTTAGATTTTTTGCTATATCATTTGAAATAATTGTCTGAAAGGCCTTATTTATGTCTCAAATTAAATGTTTTGGACTCATGTATGTGGGTAATATATAATTAAATTTTGAGTTAATACGTTCTAAGCATACATTTTATTTATATTAACCTTAAAATAATATCCATAACAATGATATAAATTTACAAAATATTTACAAAATGAAGCTTTTTCTCTTTTTCCATAATGGACTTGTTAAAACCATTAACCCTTTTGAAATTTCTTGCAACCCACTAACTATGCTTAGTCATTGGAATTGGTTAAATATAATGCTGATAGCCTATATCTAAATTATGTGGTAACAGCTGATTAAATGAGTAGCTAGTATGAGAAGAGTTAAAGTCAGCTGTAGTCAACCAGAAAATACCCCTCACAACCAACACAAAACGCTTTCTTTGAGATTGTTATAGTTTTAGTTGAAATATCATGGAAGGAACTATATGGCATTGACATAATACGTCAGTGTATGGTAAAACACGTAATGATGGAGTTCCTGACTTAATCAAACACTCGAACAGTGTAGTGGTGCATGTTAACTGTATAAAAGGAATACACCTGTCGCATTGCCCTGATGCCCTGTGACATGCATGTACTACCTGTTAAGCGAAATGTCCGCACGTTACTCGGTGAATTCAACTTCAAACGTCAATGTATGTTTTGTGAACAAGACATTAACTCTAAAGAACTTAAGCATCCAGAACGCCAAGTGCCGTATTAGTCCACTGTCAAATGTACACCCGTGTGCTCCTTGATGAGGCAGGTGTGGGAGTAGTCTTAATCTCTTTGTTTGACCTTTGAGAAATACAATTTCGATGGTGGCACTCTTGAAAATTGTGCGTTTGAACGCTGTGGGTAAAAAACAAAATGGCCGCCATTTAAAATGTTTAAAGTCAAATTCCATGAAAACCAGCTATTAAAATAAAGTTTTGCAACACATTATTTAAAGTCCTTTTTATTCCAAATCGAATGACACTTTATTTGCGAAAATCGGATAATAAATAAAAAAGTTATTTAACTTTTGTTATTAATGCTAATTATCAAAATGGCAGTCATTTTAACACCACAAAGTTAAGTTCCATAGAAACTAGTGACAAAAACATTATAAAAGTTACATAACTTTTTTTATTTATTATCCGATTTTCGCAAATAAAGTGTCGTTCGATTTGTAATAAAAAGGAAAGGACTTTACATATTGTGTTTCAAAGTTTTGTTTTAATTGCTGGTTTTCATGGAATTTGACTTTAAAAACTTTTAATGGCCGCCATTTTGAAATTCGATGAGCCTAATCAAAGATTTTTTCGGAGAATGTTAATGGTTTATACTTAAAGTTTATACCAAGTTTCATAAAAATATCTTCAAGGGCTATTGAGTTATGAGTTATTTTCAAAAAATTCAAAATGGCGGATTACGGCTAAACTAAGCCGAAATCGAAACAAATTTATACAACATTTTTGACTTATTTTTGCACATAGAATCTGAATCTGCACAGTCCACAACGCTTTACTGAAACACCCTTTATTACTTTTTGAAATATTTAACTGTCCTGGGACATTACATCAACCCTGATTAATTTTATTTATGAAAAATATAAAATTATGTTTTATGAAATAATGGTTGATCCTACATAAAAACTGTAATCATATTTTTTGTGCAGATTTAAAATAGCTACATTTTGGTATCAACAATTCTTTTGTAACCCTAACGGTTACTGATATAAGTAAGAAAACAAGTTTGCGATGGCGGCCATTTTGTTTTTTACCATTCGGCGTTCAAACGCACAATTTTCAAGAGTGCCACCATCGAAATTGTATTTCTCCAAGGTCAAACGAAGAGATTAAGACTACTCCCACACCTGCCTCATGAAGGAGCACACGGGAGCCTGTATATGTACATTTGACAGGGGACTATATAGTGTCGTTACAACGCTTAATTTTGTTTCATCCGTAAAGACTATGGCTTTGCAGCGTTCTGACACTTGGGCAGACAAAGGAATGTTGAGAGTCAATACCAAAATTGACCTAGTCGCCAGTAAGGCTCGATACCATCGTGCATGTTATACACACTTCAGTCGTCCAGAAACATTTCCGCCTACTTTACACTAATTTCAGGTAACGCTGGGTCCCCAGAAAACTCAGTGAAGAAAGAAGCTTTTGAGGTACTCTGTGAATATTTGGAAAATAATGACGAATGCTAGTTCTCCTTTTGGGAGTTAATCGAGTTCATGAAATCCTACGCTCCACATGAACCTACATACAGCGAAAAACACCTGAAAAGAAAGCTACAAAACCATTTTTGTGACCAGTTTGTCATTGCTGAACAAATTGGAAAGCCAAACGTTCTTTGTTTTACAGGGACAGCCTACAATATTTTATCATCGAATTGGTACACTGATAAGAACAGCAATTCTGAGAAAGAAAATATGAGAATAGTAGAGACTGCAGCAAAGATTATCCGACATGAGATCAGGTACCGAGTTTACGATTGCTCTGTATAACCAACCAAAGAAAACATTTCATCAGGAAGCAAAGATATGTTACCAAAGACATTGAAAATAATGATAAGAACAATTATACAAACACGAAAGTCATTTAAAGATGATAAGGCTTTAAAGGCAACTAATATCGCTCATGCAATTATTGCTGCAGCTCCATTTTCACACACTTTTACCAGTTTTTCACGGCGGTTAAAATTCACGCATAATTCCCAATTTTTTCGGAATTCCCGGTCGCTGACAACCCTAGACACTATTCAGCTTAAGTTAATTATAATGTCATTAACGCAGCTGGCACAAAACCTATAGAACGCAGTATGCGTGGGGGGAGAGTAGGGCTGCCTCTCACCTCTTCAGTACGGCCGCGCTGGCTTCAATGAAACTCCGGCGTGTGTACTCCTTAATGTTTAATCCTCCTAGGGCAGAGCGACGACGCTGACAATAATTTTTGTGTATGACAATACATGCAGGCAGCAAACATTACATTTTTAAATGCCCCAATTACCACTCCACATTCTGTCACTTAGCTCGCAATGTGTCACATGTACCAGCTTACTGAAAAATGCAAAGACGCAAACAGGCCAAGTTTGTGAGAAAGTTAAGTGATACGGAAACCGAAGTAGAAATAACTTTGTTCATCCCTTCCCTTAGCCTACGAAACAAATGAAGGTACACACAAAACCTGCCTCTGCACTTGACGAACCATCTTTGTCACATCTAAAAAGGCACTGCTACGTTTGACAAGTCGTTCTCGTAATGATGCAACACTGAAGGTGGTGGGTGGCATCTACCAATGAATAAGTGTACTATTCCGAGCTAGGACTGTAGCACATTGGCCTTTAGTTTCTAATTCTTTTATAGCTGTTCCCGATTATAGTGAGTACGACAGAGACAGATGTATTGTTTTCAAACATGAAAACCATTATAGGTTGATACTATGTTAGGTTGTGAACTCCTACGAGAAACATTTAGCTGTGAATTGGATCTTTTAAATTCCAGTTAATAACGCTCTGGTTATTTTTTGAATTTTCCATAACATTCTCAAATATTGGGTGTACAAATATTGACAGATTACTAGCACTAAGACTGATGACTAACACCAAAGAGAATAGTTTGGCTCTTTTTGAATAAAAAAACAATCATAGCAGATTTCAGTGGATATTAAAATTAATACCGCCTCGAAGAGTTAGCCATGGGTAACAAAATTACCTATCCAGTATTTTTCATATATTCAAGCGTTGATGTAAATTTAAAGATGTTGCCTAACCTACTAACTCGCCTGTAATAATTTTTGTTGTGTTGGCGTATTTAAAATTATTGTTTTCTTTGTTTAGCGTAAAATATGATTTAAATTATTCGCTGGTTTGTGCAAACCCATTTGAGGGTAAACACATTAAGAGATATATAATGTACTGGTCTTATAACTTCTTTGGTTTCTAGACCCAAGGTGTATCTTTTGTTTTTGTTTACATATCATTGATTCCAAATGTTTCAGTGTCCGAATATTTATAGTATTTTTAAACTGGACAAGGAGGTAAAGTGGAGTCTAAACAGCAAATACTTACATTCATTGTAGTGCCTGTGAGCCTGTTTTTGCTCTGTGCGAGGGTTTCGTAAGACTCAAAGAACTGCAGAAAGCTCTTCTCCATAGCTTCGATCAGAGGAGCTGGCATGTTGATGGCAAAGTCATTGTCCAACATACCAATGACAGCTACTCTTAGCGTCTCGTGTTGAATTATCTCATTGTACCGGGCTACATCTCCAGGTACTCTTTCCTAAAAGATCCAACTCATTAGAAAAACCTCGTATGTACCATTTGCTGTTACATTTTTGAAGTAAAAAAGTTTCAGAAAATCCTGTATAAAAATTAATTATTATTTAACACTAATACCGAAACCCTACACAGGCTGACGCTAACCGAAACCCCCGGTCTGTGAGACCTCATTTGAAGATAATGGACCTCGCTTAGAAACACACAAACCGAAACACTGGGCCTGAGAGACCCCGCTTTAAAATACACTAACGCTGGGCTTCTGAGACGGGCATGTTATGAACAGACAACCTGTCAAGGTCACGGCACCCACGCAAAATGAACAAACAATATATCAACAGGTATGAGATGAAAAGGGGGGAAGGTATTGGGGGAATGGAATTCCCCATGTAGACAGTGTTGCCAACATGCGTTTGTGAAAATTCCCGTGGGCCTGTCAGACTGGGGTTTCGGTAAAAGTGTTAAAATGCAATTATATGTTTTGGTAAAAGTTGTTCTTTTAGATACAGGGTGAGGCAGTGAGAGCACCCCGATTTTCTTTCGTTGAAACATCATAAGCAAAGCAACAAAGAATGAACAGCTGTGCTTATAACATAAATCAAACTATGCAATTTTAGTGAACATTGTGCCTGAGGGTTTTAACACTGAGATTTTGATGTAGGAACCTATTTTAAAAATAGTGATTATTATGCAAACACCCAGAGATTGTTTGGACCACATTCCATACTTGGTCAATACGGCGCTGTTCCAGATTGGAAAACTATAGGGAACTGGGTAAAATGATTTTGGATAACAGCTTAAACCATAAAAATAATCGGTGGGTGCCGCAAAACTCTTTGTACACCAGCAAATGTTGAAAGAGTGTGAGTCGCAGAAACTTAAAGTCCAAAGAGGTTTGCCAGAATGCTTTCGTTGTTGGAAGCTTTACGTTGGCTCTTTGCTGTCTTCTCCCTATAAGCTACTTGAAATTTAAGGTTTTTTCAAAGTTGCCCTAGAGATTTTCTTGAATTTCCAAGAAACTAAAGTGATTCCTGAAGAAATGTTGGAAGAAGTTTTCAATGGCATTTTCAAGTGACTGAAAAGGAATGTCAAGTAGGATAAGGACGTCACATAAAGGATTTTGTTTTCAAGAAATGGAAAAATTACTTTGTTAAGTTAAAATGGCAAAAGATAAGCTGTGTTTTGATGTGCTATTTATATGTATAAGGGTAAATAGTATTGAATTTGTTCTATTTATAAATTGGGGCGCTTTCATTGCCCCTCCCTGTATAAATAAAAATACATACAAATAGTTTTTCAGTAGCCTATTTCATAACAATTAAATATTTAGTTTATTATTAAGATTTGTGATGAGTATTATGATGTATATTATTAAAACTTACAATTGCATATATATAAAAAAAAGTGTTTTTCACACTTATTAAATTATACTTAGGCCTAAATGGAGAAAATCTTAATAAAAATATTAGATAGTGTCTAATTTAAAATATATTTATTTCTGCTATGACTATCATTTTGCAGTGTGCTAAATTATGAATACACCATTATCTTATCAGATCAAACATAACTGTACTTAAATTATCGTATTCTACTAGTAATAAGAATGAATCTTTATCTGTACAAAAATAAAACTTCACCAATAATAAATTCAGTACATGTTACAGTTAGAAAGGTAACCTTTTTTTCAATCCAAGATAACTTGACAGAAATTAAGCACATTATCGTACTTTCAGGAAGACTTACATTCAATTAGCAGTATATTCTCCTGAATATAAACCTCACCTCAAGTTGTCAATATTAATTTTTTTTCAATCAATATTGATGTGAACCAATATTTTACATAATTACAGGAGACTCAAGATAGCTCAAATTCAAACCCAAGCAATCGTGTAGAGTGTAGACATCACCATCCTCTCCCGCGATCGCGGCAAAATTCTGATTATCTCCTGCAACCAAGAAGACATCAATATCGACTCCCGCAGTTATGGAAACGTCATTGTCGTCTTACGAGACCACGGCAAATTCATGAACATCTCCTGCGGCCATCTAAACATCATCATCGCCTCCCTTTGTCACGGAAAGGTGATCCTCGTATTGTGCGATCGCGACAAAATCATGAATTTTGAGATTAGATTTTACATGGTCCATAAAATTTCCGTATGAGACAACAAAATAAAGACAAAATCCTGACTTTTTCAAGACCATTATGATATTCAATACTGATTTCCGGCTTTCTAATTCTTGTTTTTCCCGACTACTAGACAAAATGTTTCAAAGCTTCGAACTTGTCAAAATAGCAATTTTAAAAAACCATAAGTAGGCCTATATACAAACATTTAGATAGCACTGTCATGATAATACTAAATCAATACATTACAGCGAGGGGTTGGTAGCAGACTTTGAACAACCCCGCGCCACGTGACACAACAAAAACTGGTGCATAAACCCACTCCACAGTTGAATATTACAGTGTTAGGAAAATGCCCTTGCCATAAGATAAATACATGCACTAGACAACTCGGATGAAATTCAAAATCAAGCAGCCCTATACAATCGCATAATTCGGCAGCTAGGAAAACCCGCCTTTACTCAAGACTTAGAAGTGATTGGTAAGTAAACGCCATATAGAAACACTGAATTCATGTGTTTTCAATACAATTCAAATGAAAGGTTGATTTTTAAATCTTCAAACCCTACATTAAAAACGTTTTATTAAATGATTAAAATTTTTGTTCTGATCCCTTGGCATTTGACTTATCCAAGATCCCTGCGTTTTGATTGGCCAAATGAGAAGCTCACCCTCTCAAATCCTGGTTCATTGTGGTAAGGCTTGTCGGTGAGAAGACTTTGTATGGAGATGAGGACGCTAGAGAGGGTCTGTGCTGGACTCCAAGCTGGTCCACTCCAAGTCCTACAACATGGACAGTATAGGCTACAGGTTTCTGTTTCAGAAAGTCCAGCTACTTAAAAAAAATTCTATTTAACCCTTCAATGTGGTTTGATGAGCCTACTTCATCACACATAAAAAGACTTTGCCACGATTTGACGAGACAATGTCGTCATTACGCGTCCTAGTAGGTGGTGGCATATGACGACGAATTAGGTACGGTAGGCTAACTATATCGAACTAGGACTGTATACAAAAAATTGTCCGATAGTTGCTCAATCTTTTACTGCTGTTCCCGATCGTAGCGAGTGCGACAGAGTTAGAGGTAGGTACTGTTTACATTCATAATAGGCCTAACTATGAAAGTTTCTTATTTTGGAAGGACATGAACCCTCTAGAGAACTATTTAGTTGTGAATATGGACCTAAAACTCCAGTTGATAAACCCCCCCCCCCCTCCCAGGTGTTTGGAATTCTATTTAAAAAGAATTTTATCCTAGCAAGCACTATTACTTATGCCAAACATCATCAAAGGGTATAACGAGAAAAATACCTTCCTTATCAGCATCTGACGGGAGTTAAAAAATCCTGTCTTGAAGGGATAAATCTTAAATCAATAATCTAAGTTTGATCATTGAACTTGGTACAGACAAGTAAGCTGTTGGCTCAAGTAGGCTATTGCAAGACCTTCACCGTATCTTTTCACAAAAATATGTAACTTAATCCTCAATACGTATAACTTACCAATATTTTAAAACGTTTAGGCTTCTAAAGTGAATAAATTGGTCAACTCTCGAGTAGATACTCTCTCTGAGGTCAATGTTATCACGGCAAATTAGGATGGTGGTTTAGGCTAAGAAGTGATAACAGATTAAAATACTTACTTTACGAAATTAGGGTATGGACAACTCACCCTAAAATACTGAGACACACTTTTCCACACTTGTAAAGATTCGGATTGAATCTAACTTTATTTCCACCAGTTGTCATTAGACGTACTTTGGGAGGCCTGATCGGATAATCAGGTGGGAATCGGAGGATGAAATAGAAAAACCCTCCTTCATAAGGAGTATCAAAAGCTCCTGTGATGAGAGCATGGACAACAGTCATATTTTGATCATCAGGCACGACTAGAATACCTGGAGGTGGTTCGTGGTAGATAGCCATCATATCCCTAAAACAAATACACAATAGGCTAATGTGTTGTAATTCTAATCATTGGAAATTTTAGCCTACTCTAATTACATTAGGCCTAACAAAAAGCTAAGATTAAAAACTGACAGATGATGTGTAAAACATTGGTAGAAGGATTAGGCCTACCGGTAGCCTAGCCTATATTCATGTTGCATTCTACATAAGCCATGAACCAGAGATAGACCCAGACAAAACTGATAGGTAACCTTAAGACTGAATTCTTGAGGAATATCTACTTTTCCCAGGCAAAGATGGGTGCTCAACTTAAATCTATGAACGAGAGTGACTTAGGTTATCATTAGCTAAGGTTATGATTTAGCTTCTTACCTCTTAATCCTTAACAAACATGAGGGCGGTGGATTTCCTTCCTCGTCATTAAAGGGGGCTAGTGGATTCCAATCAGCACTACTTGGTACAAGGTTTTGTGCTAATAATTCATCCAAATTGTCAATATTTGAAGGCTGAGGAAGACTATCCGAACCGGGAATTGTGGTCACTGCTGGTGGACTGTCTTGCAAATACGTCAAGGGAGTAATCCCTTGTGCTTCGATTTCCTCAAGATTGAAAAAATGCATCATATTGCATCTATTGTATCACAACGCACGAGCTTAGAGAAATATGGGGTACAGTTTCTTAACGGGGCTACGCCAATATTGATTGAAACTATCGAATCGAAAATATTGATTAATAATCGATATTTTTAAATATATCTATTATAAAATAAAACTATCATAACCTAACCTAACCAACCAAACTTGCTGGAAATATGCCTGGCAGCAATTAAATAGGTAAGCCCCTACCTAAAGTAGGCCTAAAATCACAACAGCGCAGCGCTGGGACAGAATATCATGGAAATTAGTAAGCCACAAGTAAATTCACGTCTTGTTTCTTTCAACACAACATCTATTAAGGTCTACTAACTACCTAAAGCTTATCAAGTTAAGTTATACAGTTAGTAACTGGTATTCCGAAAAGTAATAATTTATTAGACCACAACAACAAGCAGGTCACTTTATCTGATTCTTCTATTCTGACAGTTCGAGTTCAGTTGTAATGTTCTGTCTGAGTGAGTTTAGTGTTCAGTTCAGTTCAGTGTAAGTGTAGTAAAGTTAGTTAGTAGTAGTGTAGTGAGTGAGTGAGAGACTTCACTGTGCGCACTTCGACTCTCGTCTCGACTCTTCGACTCGACTTCACTTCAACTTCAGTCTTTTTTCCTTCTATTTTGTCAAAAATGGCTGGCTTTGATCTGTAATAACAATGCAGCCGCGTGGTTCAATATTTTACACATATCTTTTTCATTTTGGTTACTTCCTTCGAGTTAGTATTGTCATCTCAAATGAACAGTTTGTTAGTTGCATGGTTATACAATTGCCAATAGTATGTTTTTGTTAACATAGTTAATATTCACATGGTCATTATTATTTTGTAATTTGTTTTTCAAAAACATTGGGATATTTATAATGGTAAGATGGGATTTTGAGGAAGGTCAGGGTTGAGTGTCTTCACTGCTTGGGGTCTATCAAGCAGACTTTCCTAACCCGAAAGAGGATAGGACCGTGGAATGAAGAATCCACCAGTCAGGAACACACGGGAGAAACATTTAGGTTTGTTTTGAGTGTGTCAGTTGGGTGTCAGTGTGTTTTTTGTATTCTCTAAAGAGGTCTTTTGATCATGCGAAGGAATGCGTTTAACAATTAGTATATCTCTAGGTCTTTGGTCTTCATTAGATCTGTCAAAGTGATAACTTGTCCATACTTCTTGTCGGTTATCTTTGTATTATTTTTTTAAAGAATATGCTACTCTTGCGTAACTATGCTGTGGACATTCTAGTAATATGTGTTCTATTGTTTCAACATTGTTATCCGTGCAGTCATCCAACGTGGTGTGAAATACTTTTTGATTTTATGTAGGCTATTGTTTACGTTTGCGTGTCCAAATCTAGCTCTAAATATGCTAATAAGATCGTATCAATTCATTTTAGTGTTTCTAAACCAGGGGATCTTTTTGTACTCATTTTGGATTTTTTGTACCATTTTCCTTGTTTATTTCCAGGAGAGTTTTATTATGTAATTTTACGAGATAGGATTACCTGTGGGTTTTAAAATCCTCGGTTGGTATTTGTATGTCTTGTAAGGAGATTCCTTCTGATATTGCTTTTTTTGCTAATTTATCAACTAACTCGTTGTTAGTCATTGTCATAAAGCAATGTCCTGGTATCCATTTGAAGATTATATTTTTCTCACATTCAATAGAAAGATAAATAATTTTTGACGTTAATCTGTTAATCTTGCAGCAAAGTACACAAACATTTACTTGATTATGTAAATTTCCTAATATTATCCAAACAAGACGATTGAAATTTTAAGACATGTGTATAACAATCATGTTGGTGACGTTTCATTTAGCCAATTATTTAGAAATCCCTTCCTCTGATGTTGGGATAAAACTAAATATGGCTTTTTAATAATAGACAAGGGAAGACTAAAGATTAATGACAACTATAGATTTATGTTTGATAAATTTTATAATGGCCAAAACTAAGAGTATTGATGCCATCTTCCAGAATAAACCTCTTGTCATCATCAAAAGATAGCACTTTTTTATTCATTGTTAAGGTTTTAAGGTGGTGGTTTGTAGATTTAATTCTTGTGACAGCATCATAGTAATCTTGCCCAATTGCAAGACAGTTTAATAATGTAGGTGTCTATGGAGATGTTTAACAATTAATTAGCACCCTACTCACTTCACTTTCTTAACCTCTAAGGTTGGATTGTCTTCTTCTTCTAACCATTTTAGAGGAATAAGAATATAACTTTGGCCTTAAACCAAAATATTCATACATAATATGACCATCTAGTTCGTCTTTAATCTTACCAAATCTTTAACGTTATTTTACATGGGTACCATTTATTAAATAAATTCAACAGTTTCATTTGTATGTCAATGCGTTGTAACGTAATGTCGGTGTTGGCAAAGGTTACACACTCCATGCACTGCTTTATTGTTTAAAAATACTTATATCTCGAAAACAGCTTGAAATACAGCAAAACGGTTAAAATGCCAGCCTACTAAATGGGTTTCAAAACTATTCTAGAATTCTGGCAATAAATATATTTTAACTTTAATAGATTCATTTTCTAAAAAAGCCTATGCTGTTCCATTAAAGAATAAGACAGGGTTGGTGGTTACAGAAGCCATTAAGACCATTCTACCAAAGGGGGTAAAAAACATTCAATCTGACAATGGGAAAGAATATTTTAATAAACATTTTAGCAAACTAATGAAAAAATTAAATATTATTCATTATCATACTTTTTCTACAACTAAGGGTGCAATTGTGGATCGTTTCCAGAGAACTTTAAAGAATTGGTTATATAGGGAATTTAGTGCTCAGGGGAGTTATAAATGGTTGGATTTACTTCCAAAGTTAATTAGAAAATATAATAATAAGATGCATAAGAATGAAGCATAACCAAGTGAGTGTTAAGAATAGTAAATATGTGCTTGATAGGTTGACTTCTAAAGCGCAAGTTAAAAAGCCAAGATATAAGGTGGGTGACAGCGTAAGGATTTCCAGGTATAAACACGTGTTTAGTAAAGGTTATACCCCAAATTGGACAGGGAAGCTATTTACAATAGCAGAAGTTAAGCATACAAAGCCTGTGACTTATATTTTAAAAGATATGAAAATGGCAATGTAATCAGAGGAGGATTCTATACAGAGGAGTTGTTAAAGACCAAGTATCAAGACATGTATTTGGTAGAGAAGGTGATTAGGAGAAAGGGTGATTTGTTGTATGTAAAATGGCTTGGGTTCCCAAGTAGCCAGAACTCATGGATTTGCGCAAAGGATGCCTAAAGGTAGCGGCATTTCACCGCGTCACCACTGGGGACGAGAAGCGAGAAGCGGGGAGCATGTCCATGCCCTCGGCCGGTATCGCGCTCGAGTTCTTGTGCAAACCTCGCACTGTCAAGTTGATGATTTTGAAAATATATATGGGAATTGATAGGACTTTATGGAGTTGTACAATAGTATGGAACATTTATATAGGGGTGTATAGGCCGTGGGCAGGAATTAAAAAAAGTGGCTAAAAAAGCCCACCATGTTATTCTTATAGGAAAAACGCTCAAAGTGACGCTCAAAACAAAAACACTTCCTCCTATTGCATCTACTTAAGACCTAAATGGGAATTATAAGTCTCCCGTTTCTCCCCGTCTACCTGAGGAATCCGCTGTGGCAGTTTCAGTTTTTCTACCCGTCTCGAAAACACCCTTATAATCCTTCCAAATTTATTTGGCAGTTTCGGTATGGGCCCAGAAAACATACTACTGTATGTTTTCTGTGGTATGGGCTATGATCATAAAACGGCGTGGCAGTTTCGGTGTCCGCCTTATGACGACATAGGATCACTGACGGACAGGCAATATAAATCATTTAATTCAATAAATGATCCTGGGCCACTAAGCATAATGATATTTCTATATATTTATAAATGTCAGGTTAAGTGAAGAAAGGGCCATGTGGCCCTAACTTTGCCTGAAAAAATAAACGATTTTATTTAAAGAACAAATTGATAATTTGTATTACCATACAAACATTTGATTTACTCTTGATTTATAATTAGTTTGATACCGGTATTAATTTAAACAAATACTATACTTCAGTCACTAAATGTTACTGGAAGACATATAAATTGTCTTGGTACCGGTAGTAGCTGTAGGTTCGATCGATTCTGGACCGAGGTGAAATTTGGTACAAACGTGTAAACCCACATCTATTCAAATGAGTTCATGAACCAGTATGATCGAACCATGAGAACGGGGTTTTGTGGGGGGTTTTATGAGGGTAAAAATGGGGGTTTCTAAGCTTTACCCTCAAAACATAAAATTTCCTAAACAATTTTGAAGAACTTAAAAAAACAAATAGTTTAGTATATTGAAGTGTTTTTGTGCGGTTATTTTTTACGGAGAAAGTTCAAAAAGTTTAAAATTCCCATGATATTCATATGGAGAACAAGTAAACTGTTTTGGTTTGCTTGTTTATGGATATATTTCAAACCTGGCACATTTATTTACTTTATACTAAGCTATTAATAATATAAAAACACACATTATTACCCTCCAGTAGCAAACCTAGGTACTTGTTAAACATAATTAGTACAAAAAATAGATTTATGTGCAAATCAAATCAGGCAAATGGAAATTCGCTTATTCTGCTGGTTTGCTGTGGCGTGGTTATTTTTATTGCATCTATACCTGCGATTCAGTACTGCAGTACAATACAAAAGTAGTAAGATACTGTTACGTTTACATTGTCTCAGTCGATAAGGCAGTATGTAGTTCTGTTTACGGCCGCAACGTCGCGTCGCACCACTGTCGTCGGAACAACACCCCAACAATCCCAGGAGGAGACCACCCGGACCGCGGTGTTTTGAAGATCGCTCAGTTTTATCAGGTGCTTTTTTCGGTGCGGAAAGTATCGAGTGTTGTAGTATTTTGAGAGTGTGTCAACATGGATACTGTGGCCTCGGCGTCTCAACAGCCATCGCAGAAACCCAACTCTTCAAATCATACAGGTGGGGATTAAAAAATATAAAGATATACATCTAGTTACAGGTTTGACCAAATTTAGTGTCGCCTAAGAATTTTTATTAAATTCGTATAAAATGACATTTCTTGTATTGTTTACATAGAACGTTTCATTCAATTTTAGTCCAATGAGAATTAATTCAGAAATTAATTCTGAATGGTTTCCACAATACATGTGTGTGTGTCATTGCATTGTAAACATAATTAGTTTCATAGTAGGCATTCCTAATTTCAACATTTGTACAACTAGCAGTTTTTATTTTCAATAGCCATAACAGAATATGGCCCGAAAATCCTAACCAAACCAATACTTTTGTGATCCTGGGTTGACAACCGGTAATCGAGAGAT